AAGATTTATTGCCTAATCATGCAACAAAATGAGTCAATAAGACCTGAATTATATTGTGCAGGAACAAGAAACAGCACCATTTGGTGTTCTTTTTTCCTACTACTTGTAGAAGTGGGTGACAGATAAATCTTTTTCTTCATATTAAAGAAAGGTTAGGATTCACTTTTCAGTGAGGAGTGACTTCTTGAATATGTAAGAGCGTGCTATCAATGTCATGGAAACCCACAGGTGCCTAAATATTAGATACGATTTTCTGTGCATCCTTGTTAAGAGTGTTATTAAATAATAGACATCTGAGTATTGTAGTCATTACCTTTTCCCTTTAATGGGAAACATGTCTATGCATAGTTATTGCTCAAAAATAGAGTTCCTGTTTAACAGGAGAGAGACTTCTAGGATATTTGACTTTGCGAGCATAAATATATTCCCTTGAGAGATGACTGAAAGCTTTGTTCGGAATGTTGCTGGAACTTCACAAGCCCACACTTGAATCTCCTTTCCACCCCTCTACCTTTTACTTTTATGATTCTGAGGTATAACATGAAGTCCTTATTTAGTAGAATCTTTCAAATAAGAACAGCCAAGAACTCTATAGAAAATCTGTATGCAGCTTTTGAAGTTATATTTATTAATGTTACCAAGGTACTGCTTTTATATACTAATTTTACATGATCCTACTTTGCAATTTTTTTGGACTACCTGCATGATGACAGAGATGGATCATATTTCAAAGTACAATCAGGGCAAACAGAGATTTCAGCTAATAGTCAAATAGAAATTCTAAATTCCTCTATATTTTGAAGTCCAACAGAAAGCAGTACCGAAGTCCTTGTAGAGCCATTCCAGCAAGAGGGTAACTTAACTCCTAACTCCCAGTAACGGCAATTGTAGCTGACACCTCTCAGCTGCCCCCAGGAACTGGTTAGAGCAGAGCTTGCTGTGGCCGAGAGCTATATGGTACGGATGAGGAATTGCCCTGCGTGTGGCAGGTTTTCTCTGATTAGTGCCAGACTTAAAACAAACAAACAAAAAAACTCCATTTTGGGAATGGAAAAGAGAGATGTTGATTTTTTTGAATTACATGTATTTTTGTGTGTGTGTGTCACTTGGGCTTTTATAATATGCAAATATTCTCCTTGTATTCCAAACATGTAATGAATTTTGTATTGTACCTCTCTGAGAGCAGGTATCTGCCATGAAATCCTAATATTTAATCTGCAACAAGAAGTTTGTAGGGGATGTCAAAGCACATGGTGACCAAATGGTTAGACGTCATCAGATTTACACGAATTAGCCAGCTATTCCAGCAAATGAGGAAAATCTTGAAGAGAAAATTTCACTGCCTTTTAGAAGAACCTACCTATTATTTAGGCAGTTCCTCATCTGTAATGAACTTTTTATTGATACAATTTAGCTATTACTGGAATGAGAGGGAACAAGACAAAAAGTTCTGAGTTAAAGCAACTGCTGTATTTCTTCTACTTATCTAGCAACATTTTAATATTTTTGATTTTATATGATAGGAACTGTTATTCAAAGCTTTACCAGAATTAGTCATCTCCAGGGCTGTGCTGAAGGCCACAGAGCACAACTTAGTGAAGCGTTGCAGGTAAACGGGAGGTGGTGGCTTGGAATAAGCAAATGCCTGTTGGAAAATCTTTTTTTCCACACTTTCATCTAATTCTGCACGGAGTAGTGGAGACATCCAGTGGCCAGTGTCCTCAATGACTGACGAATTGTATTCTCTGACCTCTGATTGCCAGAAACAGGAGAGGCTCATGTGAGAATAGTCCTTGTAGTTGTTTTCTCGGGAATGAGTTCCAAACTCTTCACAGTAAAATCAGAGCTCTCTGGAAATAACAACAGGGACTGTTGCATGTCATACGAAGGGATTCTGGCCCTGAGCCACTGCTGAGCATATTACAGTTGTATTTTTGACTCAGTATCTAAACCCTTGTATAGCTATTTTAAATATATATGAAGATCTTGAAGCAAGATGAAGTAATAAGCATTTTAAATATATGAGCAAAGGAAATTGGAAGTAAAAAAAAAAAAAAAGAGATGTTTTGGCATGACTGAAACGAAGACTAGACAATGAAATTTGAAAATAGAAATAGGCCATAGTAATAAAATTTTATAGAATGTTATCAAAACTAAAAGAGACAAAAATAAATGCAATGCTATAGCTAGATCTTCCCAAACTGATTAGGATTTTCGTTAGGTCGTGTTAAGGACAAAGTATCAAAAGAGGCTCAAATGAAGACATATCACAGCACAGTGTTCTTTTTATGTTGGAAAAAGCAAATGTAATTACATGTAGTTGTTTCTTGGAGAGTGTTTGCATATTGTTAGTTAGATATCTGTATTTGCAGTGTAGCTGTCAGCTTACAGCCACAGCACTGGTTAAGTTCCTAGGCACCAGCTATTATAGTGTGTAAAAAGCCTAGACATCTACTAGTAGGTTTAAAACCTGTTCTTACTTTTCTCTCCATGCTAATGTGCCTTAAAGCACTTTCTATGTGAAAATAAGAGCATATGTCTAAACAGAAACCTTGGTTTCATGAAGTTCACAAAGTTTTACAAGTTATGATTGAATATAAAAATAAAAATATAAAAATATAAAAATACATCTGCTGAAGGGGAGACCCTTTTTCTTTCTTTGAGCATCATCAGATGTAGACTTACTCTAGCTTTCCTGCCAGCCGTGCTGGACGCGGAGCCCATGTCTTGCCAGCCCCTTCCTTCTCTGCCTCCTGGTTGTCCTATGGAGCGTGACCTGCAAGCATATTGTGGAGATTGCTTTACCTAAAAGGGACATTATGTAGAGAGATCTTGCTGTAGACAGGCAGATCTTGCCAACAGCTTTGCCCATGTCTGCTCTGCCACATTAAGCTTCCTGTATAGCAGATGCATAACTTTATCATGAGAAAATACTGAATTACAGCCTATGGCAAACTATGCCCTGAAGATAACAGGGATATGCAGGAGCAACTTATCACTGCAGATTGCTGTTCTGGTGTATTCTCAATGAGTGCATTTTGGAGACACTCTGGGACAAATGCTGAAGCTGACTTTACAAGGCAATGTGCATACAGAATGCAGACTGATTTGCTTAACGCCGTAATGTAGTTGTAGTGTGAACATGGCACTAGCCTGCCAGCAGGGTGCATGCCACTTCTCTGAGGGCACCCACCAGGCATCCTGCTCAAATTAAAGAGCTTGGTAGTTTCTATATTTAGACATTTAGGCAAAATTACAAAAACTGACAAATGGTAAAAGCATCCTGTGATGTTCTGCGAAAAACTAGTACTGGTAAGTGGTAACAATAGGGAGTCAAGATTGTGTATTGAATTAAGATTTGGATTGAGGAGCCATTCTTGGGAGTTTGTATCTTCTAGTCCTTAACCTTACAGCATGTGGAATGGGGAATTCTCTTATGTTTATGGTAGTGGTAGGTTTCCTGTCCATGCAGTAAGAGCCGGTATATTTTCCAAACAGCTTGCAAACTAAGGTGCTGAAACAGAGTGAGAAAGGAGGAACTTATTATCTACATTTTACAATGGCACTAAGTGTGCAGCTGTGTACAATGATGTATTTATTCTATGAATTTACCGGTCAATTGCATTTTGATTTGATTTGAACACTATTTCCTCCTTTTCCGTTCTTTTTTATTCTTTTTTCCCTGTGGCTATTTTTAGTTTCCCTTTGAACAACTGAATACATTATTTAGCAAAGATATTACAGTTGGGCTGCTCTTTATGCTAGCTTTTCTTCCCAAGGACTATCACTAGGTTGGAATCGTGTGCATTGGCACGCAGCCTGTTTGGCCTCTCCCCCTCGCTGTGCTGCTCGCTCCAGGGAGAGGCGGTTCTGTCAGGCCTTTTGTAGAGGAAGGACGGAAGATATTAAGAAAGGAGGGAGGCCTTGGCAGAGGGAAGGAGATGGAGCTTTTGTTGGAGACGGGCTGAAGGTTTTAGTTCTGTAGAGGTTATACATGAGTGCATGGCTGTAGTGAACTTAAAAATGGAGTCACAATTTTAAAAGTGTGGAAAGTTCCATTTTTGAGTGGAAATGCACGTTGCTGATAGTAAAGTTTGGAAAAATCTTCATCTTAAAGCCTTTGCCCGGTCCCTGAGGCCAGACAGATCCTTTTGTAAAGTCTGGGGTCAGATGACAGCAGTTCAAAGTGCTGCCTGTGTGGAATCACTTGTTTTACAGTTCGTGGTTTAATTGGCATTTTATGTCCTCTGCCAAACCAGTAGTGTAGTGTGACTGAGCTAAAACTATATGGAAAACTTGAGAGCTGAGACAAAATATTGGGTAGGAGGAGGTATAGAGATACATATGAGGTTAATTAGCAATGGAATATTTTTTACTAGTTTGATAACTTGTTTTACAAGTGAACTTTAAAATTTGTTCGTTTTGTTGCAATTTATGAGCAGTAGATGTTAACTGCTTCTATAAATGCCAGTGGGAAATTCTTTTTGCTCAATAGGGGCAATTCAGTTAATGGGTTATACTCTTCATGGAGGTTAAAAAGTATTTTAAATCTTAGAAGTATGTGGTCCATTTGCGTCAGATGAATGTTATCCGTAGGTAGTAGAATTTGGTGTATGACTAACTGCAGCACTGTTTATAGGTGCTGAAGAACTCAAAAGAATTTGTAGACCAAAGAGTCTGAGACTGTTGGGCGACCTTTCCTTCTGGTGTGTGTTTGTTCTGGTGGTGCTGCTTGTTTGTTCCATGTTTATTTTTTAATCAGACTTTTTTCAATTTTTGCTTCAATAACAAAAAATGTGCTAGATCCTTCATAAGTAACTAGAACATGCTATTTCCTCAGAATTTTATACTCTAAAGGATTTTCAGTTAGAGATAATGCCTATATGGTAAACTGGAATATAGCAAAATTAGTAGAATGACATGTGAAACTATGATGGTTATTATGTTTTGCAGGACAAAACACTCAAAATCTCTTTTTTTTTTTTTGTCTTTTTCTGCAGTGAAGGGAAGTCAGAAGTGTGAGTTGAACTGCCGTGCAATAGGCTACCGATTCTACGTGAGACAGGCTGAAAAGGTGATAGATGGAACTCCGTGCGACCAGAACGGCACGTCCATCTGCGTGGCGGGGCAGTGCAAGGTAAGGCTGCTGTCCTCAGCAAGACTGCCACTAGGCTCCCTCCTGAGTCCTGTTTAATACATATAATACATCAGAACATATTCAGGTTGTGAAGGACAAAAAAAAAAAAAAAGGTAGAATTCTTATTTGATTTAGTGCACTAGACAGAATGCGTTTTGAAGTTGCATAATATTGAATCCTTTCTTTGGTAATTTAAACTATAGCCTAAACTTTGTAGGATTAGAAAGAGGAAAAAGGTCTTGTGCAAGCATTTGGAGGTTAATAAAGTTGTTTAAATCTGATGCTTATGTATTTAAGTGATTTATAATGCAAAATGGTTCTGTTCATAAATGCTTACACCTTCTGTGTGTTAGCTATCCATAGCTACGTAGTTAGAAATGCACCCCCAAATTTCCGCATATTTGGATGAAAGAATAAAATGATGGCTTCAGACCGCAAGGTTTTGAAATTTTGAATTCACATTTTTGGCCTGTAGCGGTGGCTTGTAGTAGGCTTTTAATCCTCCATGCAGATACCTTACTGGTGTTTTGGGAAGGGGAGTATTTTGGGAATGGGTATTTGGTGAAGGGGAGAAAAACCCAGTTAAAAGCCAGTTTTTACTGCCTTTTAATCCAAACTCCAGTTCTTCCTTTTCTGCCAGCATTAAAACAATTTCAATTATTTCTCTCCCTGGCTAAATGTTCTCTACCAAACTGTAGTTGAGAGCAGTTTTTTACAATTGACTTTTAAACCTCTGAATCTGTAATTGTTTTGAGACACTTTTCTTGTGATATTGGCAGCACTACTGTAAAGCTCTAAGTCTGCAGCGTTAAGAAACTCGGTTCTTGATCGCACTTCACAATAGCTGCTGTTAGCTATCTCACATTATTTTTGAACCTTAGGAACATGTCCTAAATTGAACATGATTTTCTGTAAGCATCTGTGTAAATGTGGGCTATTTTTTGTTTGTTTGTTTGTTTTTGTTTTTGCTGAGAAAATATATCTGAAACATATTTTTACATTTCTAATCCAACTCCCATCTTATTTTTTTTGCTGCTAAATCCCTTTCCTTTTACTGTTTTCAACTTCTAGAAAGATTCAGATTCCATTAGTATATTTTCTAATTGTTTTGCATTGTTCTGCATCTGCCTTTGCCTGTCTTTGGGAAAAATACAGAGGACTGTGATTCAGCCTGGTCATTTAGTATTCTTTACTCAGAACATGTGTAAACAGCATTATAATTATGTCCTGATATACTATGTAGTTTACCATTATTTTTATTAAGCAACTGTACACTATACTGTGCATTCCACAAAATACTGTGTTGTTTTAACTAGAAAGAGAAGTACTTGAATTACTATGTTTATTATCAAACTTATAGCCTAAGCTGTTGTGAAGGTTTGTCCTTCTATTTTAAGAGTAAAAAAAATGTGTTTGGAATGTTCAGAAATGTGTTACAGCTGATGTTTCTTCTTTTTCATTATTTTATGCATCTTTCTGCTCCCTGCGTAGGTATCTGTTTTGTTAGTCTGTGCTTGCTTCAGTCCTAGTTCTGTGTTTGCTGGTTGAATTTTTGATGTCTGAGCCTCAAGTAGTCAGTGTGGGCAGTAAGTTCATCTTGTCTCCTGGGCCTGCAAAATTTCATAAGGCTTGAGAACACAAATGCGTTTGGTTCTTTTATTCTTGTTAAGAAAGAAAAACAAATGTAAGTTCACTGTTCGCTGTATTCCTCCTGAACTTTGTGTTACCAGCTCCCAGGTGAGGAGACTGGGCTCCCACAGGCTTCACTGAGGTGACCTTGCCGTAGTGGAGCAAGGAATGTAACAGCCATCCAGGTGTGATTCTGACCACTTTCTGAGCAGGTGCAAAGAGCGTATGATGCAAAACACATACAGGTTTTTAACTGGTTTTTAATAGGGCAGCAAACAAGTTGATGTCTTACTTGTTTAATATATGTAGGTAGAAACAACCTTTTGGTGCTGTTTAGCTATCTAAAATACTATAGATTGAAGAACAGCTACTTTTAGGTGCTGTTATTTTCAGCATAGAAGCATAGTTCCATCCTTGTACAAAAGCTGTTTGGATTATAAATGATTTGGAATGAAGCTGAAAGGTATGAAGAATTCTTGCCAAAAAAAACATGATGCTTGAAAGTTATGCAAATACAGTGCAACATAGACGTAGACATTAAAAAAGTATCTACAAGACTTTGGGTGGTAGTGGGTTTTAAATTGTCAAATTTAAACTCTAACAAGGGTGTTAGACTTGAAGAGATCAAGTAACTAGCTTCTTTACAGGGTCTGTGAAATAAAGTGTTTTATTTATAGAACTGGTCCACAATGGACCAAATTTCTCACTTTGCCTATGTTAATAGGGCTTCTGTTAGAGTGGATTAGTTTTGGAACATCATCTGCTACTGTATTGTGATCCACAATAGTTACTAATCTAGGGCAAGTTCTTTCATTGTAATTAACTGTGACATTGGAGAGTACTACTCATTATGCAAAACAGTGGCAGGATCTAGTCCCTTTCACCTCCTTACAGCTGGACACAACTAAATTACGGGTGCAACCCAAGACAGAAGAAAGCTTTGTGCTTAGAGGACAGCATAGAGAATTCTGGGGTGATGGTGTCGTCCCCTGCAAATGCAGCATTACTTATCATCCTGCACTAGCTGGAATAGTCTGTATTTTTTGACTTGGTACATTACATTTTTTTTTCCCTGGGTTCATGGCTAATGATTGAAAGGTGAGTTCTTAAAAGTTTATTCTCCTAAAGATTGCATTGAGGGAAGCAGATGACATTTATAGAACTTAAAACTTAACCTGTTTTTGGTCAGGTTGCTTCTTATTAATATTTTTATGCATCATTCTGTAAGTTTAAACATAAAAAATCCATTTATTTCTGCCTAAGGGGTCTGAAAAGATTTGGGATCAGCTTCATTTCGTATTGCAGCAAGTTTGGAGTAACTTCATTGATCACAATGTTCCCGTGAAGTGTTTATGTATCATTATCTGCTGCTGTCAAGAGATTACCATGATTAAGACAAGTTGGTTGCAAAGCCAAGTCTTTGGGGATATACAGATCAGGCTTCAACTTCTGGCCTTTCCAGTTGCTAATGAGGGAAATCATTAGCACCCTTCCTCATGTGCTCCTCAGTTAGTGCTCCAGACGCATCTTGCCAAGCAGAATCCCCTGCTAACAGTGTTCATATTTGCTTTCATTAGTTAACATGCAATCTGAGTATATTCATAAATTCACTTATTACCTTTATTTTATAAATGCAGTTGCTCTGTGGTGTTAGGGTATATGTGGCAAAGTGATTCCTTTGAAACAAACATGGGTGTTCGTTACAAGACAACATGGGAGAGATTGGTCATGGGCAAGACTGGTGTGATGTAGAGTGTGACTGTCAGGTTGTTTAGTGGTGACTTTGTGACTTGCTGAAGAGTAAATAATGTTTAACTTTTCGGTAGCTTTGCCAGGACATAAATCAGAGGCATAACATTAGCCTGTCATTGACACTGATTAATACTACAGGTCTTAATTACTGTTTTGTGCGTATTAAGGCAGTATTGTGACTGAAGACTTTGTTACAAGAGTACAAAAAACTGAGTTGTTGATAATCCTTGCTGCCAATGCTTGGGCATGTCCCTGATGTATGGGGTTTACAGTTTGGGTAAGTTGCAGCTTGCTCTAGAGCAGTCATTAATAGTGAGATTTAGTAGAGTAAAGAGTAAGCATTTTAAAATAAAGCTTATAAGAGAATAAGGTGTGAAAGTTTTATTTTTTATTTGCAATACTTATGGTAACTGTAAAGAAAGTGCCTATATTGGTATTGCTTTTAGAAAACTATGAAAAAAGGCAGCTCGAACTCCTTATAAATACATTGTTTTTCTATAATCTGTATTTTTGGGATCAACATTTTATAGCTTTCCTCTGCAAACTGTGAAGGAATTTTTTGTTGAATGTATCTGATGTATTTAAGGAAGATAGAAGGCTCAAAAAGCACATAGGGAATGTCTATAAAATATTGAAGTTTAGAAATTGTAAAGACAGACTTGTGGTACAGATATATAAGTTTCCAGAACTAGTTTCCTCTCATTGGTAGAAATAGGGAAAGTAAAATGGGGATGAATAAAATAATTCAAATACATTGCCTAGTGTGAAAATGCCTGTAGCTTCCCCTTAGCGGATACACAGGGCAGCTTGTTGTAGCCCACTTGAACTGCTCAGAAAGATCTTTGGATTTATATTAGGTGAGGGGAGAATGCTTTTGGGCTACGTGTTGTTTGGTCCTTGACTGGTTGTCATAAAGTAGTAGCATGTTTTTAATAAAAAAGTTAGTATTTTTCACAGATCTGGCAGTTTGGCCAGTGATCAGCTTCTTATTGCAGAACCTCAGCAGCTTTCAGGATAGGGATGAATCCTATGTGGACGTTCTCCTTCCATGTGTGCACACACTAGTGCAAGTCTCTGCTAAAATTAGTGATATTTATTGCCTGGCTCCTCAGACTGGAGATTTTCTATTTCATTTACTTAAGAAGTATAAAGCCCTGAGATTATATTTAATAGTGATTAAATCGTCTATACACTGTAGAGTGAACAGGGACGTAGCTGGTGGACTGTATCTTGAACTGTCAAATGCATCTGAGTATTTCTCTGAAAAATTGTCTGCATTTACAATTAATAGTGAAGGTGTCTCCCCAGTAACGAAGCCTGTTCAAATATTAGTGGCCATAGGTAGCCTTTCCTTAACTGTATGTTAGTGTTTTCTTTTTGCCCTGGTTAGTTGTGTTAGTGTTATTAGTGGTGGTTGTGTTTTTTGTTTTTTGTTTTTTTTTTTAAATCTAGTATTTAAGTTGTCTAAAGGAATTTGTGGTGTTTGTCACCCTCTGTTGGACACTTTACTGCATTACCAAAACACGAATAAAAGACTCAAAAAATAGTTCATTTGTACCTATGTATATTCATGGTTAACGTGTTGAGGTTGCATAATCGTTTAAATAAAAGATGGAAAA